TTAGCACAGATGCACAGGAATATGAGTGAAATAAAAATGCCATTTATGGTATCATTTTCTGCTAATTAAAGGGTAATACAAAACGTAAATATTACAATAGCGCCATGGGCCACAGTCCAACATCAACAAAAGCTAAACAAAAATCTTAACAACAGTAACAACAATAATAATTTAATGTTGTTAATTATGTTAGCTATACAGTCAAGTGTGTGTGTGTGTTAATGCATTACCACAATCTTCCCTGGAGAGGGTGTCCTTACAAATTCCCTTCTGGGCCTATGTGGATGGGTTCCCTGGAACCTAAGCAGCATGGTTTAGATTTGCTAAGCTGCTACAAACCACTAGACCTCTGTAACAATGTGCTTTGGAAAGATGAAACCAAAGTTGAGATGGTTGGTCATAATGCACACCGCATTATGACCAATAATTTTTGGTTTGTTTGCCAAAAAACCAAACACAGCATATCAACACAAACATCTCATACCAGCTGTTGGTGGTAGAGGGGGGTAACAATTTGAGGACTGTTTTGCGGCCACAGGACCTGTGCACCTTGCATTCACTGTGCTAATCAAAAGTATTCTAGGGTCAAATAAGAAGTAATCGGTCCCATAGCTAAAACTTGGCAGCAAATCTACAACAGAATGGCTAAAAAAAGATGTTGCATTGGCTCAGTCAAAGTCCAGGCTGCAACCTTATTAAAATATTGAAGCGGCACCTTCAGAGAGCTGTGCATAAAAGTTTGCCTGCTAACGTCAATTAGCTGAAGCAACACCGTAAGGACGCGTGGGCCTAAATTCCTCCAAAATGACGTGAGAGATTGATAAAGTCATGTGGAAAATGTACTGTATGCCACTGTATTTATTTTCCTTACTTGTATATTCAGGCTGTGCCTCTATGCTGCTACTTTATGTCATTATGTTTACATTTCGGTAGTAGTTTCAGTAATAATATGCAGGATGCGTATTAAAGAGAAGATGTCTTGAAAGTATACTGTTAAACGATGTTTTATTGTATTGCTTTTATGCGGCACAGGCAAACCCGGAAGCTGCTTGCTTGACGGCAGAGAGCAGGGGACACGTGGTTTTGATAAAGAGATAAATTGCGGCTCAGGCTCATTAACGGCCTCTCTTCCTTGTTGCGGTCTTGCAGGTCGGACGTGAGGTGCTGGAGAGACGAGAACTGACGAGGTGAAACCTTGTTTTACTCTAAATGTTCACATTTAGTGATGATTCACTTCGTTATTATCGCAGGTGTCGTGTTTATATTTATGCGTTTGCGCGTTTCTTGCCGTTATTTCCGCACATTGTTAGCTCGCAGCTTCAGTAGCGCCAAATGCACCTCGTGGTTTCCGCTGATGAGGAAAATGCAGCTGAATATTAAACGATACATACGAGGGAATGATGCAATTTAGGCTTTTATTGGGAGCCCAGTGAACTTCAAGATGCTGGGGTTGTGTTCTGTAATGTTATAACAGTTTAGGTTGATGTGTTTGAGGTTAATGACTCCGATAGGAGGAAGACCTGTGAGTCAGGGTTGGTGTGTACTTCAAACATCACATGCAAAACGATCTCAATGAAGCTGGCTTGCTTCACCGAGAACTGAACGAAACTGATTAAAGTTGGAAGTGAATTTTAGTTGCGTCAAACAAGACAATACCCGTGCATCTGAAAGACCTCCGTGCTACTATATTGGGTCGACTAACGTCCACTATGAACGTCATAAGTAACAAAGTTAAAACTAATATAAAGGTCAAGCACTAAGGCCTTGTTTACAAAGGGTATAATCCGTTTTATTAAGAACTTGAGTTGGCGTGTTCCCTTTGTTTATGCTTGTAAAACAAAGGGTTTCCTGTCTTGTCCTATCTGAGAGTGTAAATTCCTAAATGAGCTAAATAGGTTCTGTAAGTTCTAAACATTGCTGTAATATTCACACATTTTAAAATGCATCAACTAAACTGCATTATATAAAAATAAGAAATTATTTCTGTACTCTTAGCTTTATCACACTAGGCCCATTAATTCAGTTGTGCCATTTCAGTTCTCATCCTATACCTGCTGCAGATGCAGACTTGCCAGCTTTTAGTCAAACCTTGATGATGAGTTGCATGTGAGTCCGTGTTTCACCTGAAACCTCATGATTATCTTTCACTGCACTGATGGGTTTGACAGTAAGGGCGCAAGTCGGGCGCAAGTCAGGCACTCTGGTGTGCAAGTGCACGGTTAAGATAATCTTATGTTCCTTTTCTCTTTCAGGATTTCAGAACCTGGGTGTGTCCAAGGTAAGGTTTCTTCAGTTTTTGTTCGCTGAAATTGCATCACAATATCTGTTGGTTTAAAAGTGTGGAAATTCCAAGCTTTAGATTCAAGATCCAAGGTGTTTAATGTCATGTGTCCAAAGAAAGGCATTTCTCTGTGCAATGAAATTGTTTCTTTGCTGTCCACCCTCAGATGCTGGTTAAGATACAATAGAAATAGAGCAGATAAAATACAAATGGTACAAATAAATAAATGAAGACAGAAAAGGAGATGCAATTAAGATAAAATTAAGAAATTTAAGATGCTGAAGTCAGGTGGTCTATAGTCAAAATTTAACTAGGGTCAAATTCTGCTGGATAATTTCTTCTTTAACCTTTTGAAGTTAAATGGATAATGCAATCCACTCTGGATATCAAAATCCAGCCCATAATCTGATATTGAATGACCAATAAGCTTGCATCACAAAGGAACCGTATTATCTAATAGCCTGTTTTCATTAGTCCCTATTCGGGTCAGGACACTTTTTAGGGTTTTCCATTAGGTGATAGTACCTGGTACTTTTGATTTTTAGTACTAACTCAACCGGGGTACCAAGCAATCGAGGCAGAAATATGAAAATGTGTCTGTAGATGTGACGTCAGACGGCGTGTCACTGATTGGCTAGTCAGTGACTCATGAAGTCAGCAAAGCCATTAAGTTGATGACTTTAAATCTTAGGTTAACATTAAAGTGTTACTTAGTCTGTGCAGTATGTTTTTAGATTGTGATGTACTAAAAATGTGTAACCAGAGTTTAGTACAACATAGTTCAACACCACCCTCTTTTTTTTTTTTTTTTTTTTT